TGATGGAGTGAAGAGGGTGTCTGTCAAAAATGTCATCATCATATAATATCATTCCGCACTCTTCCAGGAAAACGTAGTGGAGAAGACGAGGGATCATACTCGTTCGCCGATCTACCCTTCGGACAACAATCGAATGCAGGGAACCACCTCCAACATCCCCAATGATGCCATCGCAGATGATGTCAGAATCAGTCACACCAACCCAACCCAACCACATCCCATATCCCCACCTACCTCGGCAGTTTCCGGAAGTCTTGTATCACGAACAGGGACAACGACAGAGGGGAAACCACAAATATTTTTTCTAATAAGCTAGCTATTCTCAGGAAGCTTTTGCACTCAGCGTGGTGGAGCTAGGGTGAGATAAGCAGGAAGAGTCATTGATGGACTCGGGGAGTGCCATTCTCAATTTTTGTCTGGCTTTGGGGAGGGAATTGGCTCCGGGCGGGGGTTTACCACCAAAAGGAAACATTCTTCATACAAATGCGATATGTCTTGCGTCTCTATCGCTGGAGTGGCACGATAACAACGCTACATTGAGATGTACTCGTACGTACCTCCGCACCCAATACATGGATCCTTGTGGACAGGGCGAGAATAGGAATATGAATGTGAGTATGAGTCACCGCGGCTCACACCCACGCGCAGCCAGAGGCGCATGTGGTAGACCGTGGCAGCAACGTACTAGTACTATTCTTTCTTGCCAATGGCACAGCAGCTTTCGAATCCTTTGCATCTGCCGGATGCCACGGGCCACTAACGACCCCCCTCCCTAGATGTAGATGCCAATAATAATGTACGTATATCTCTTCCCCCTCGTCGGGTAATAGTCGTGTGGCTAGATTGATGGAGATAGAGTGAAGCTTATCATCACGTGATCATTCGCCAACGGGAAGCCTTGCACAGGCAGATTATTTTGTTTTTATTTTACCCCTGAAAAACCCCGTTTCGCGGCGGGTTTGACGGCTTGCGGAATATCGTTGATGGGATGCGAATTGGCCTGATAGATGTTTCGAAAGCGGGTAGTGCCATAGAGAAAGGAATGTGCTGCTGCCCATGAAATGATTGATGAATGATAGATAAAATGGACTGAAAATTCAGGTACTTGTTCAATTTGAGCTTGCGGGGGGAAAAGGCGGTTTAGAGGATAGTGTTGGGGAGTTTGGATTGGTTCGTCCCCTCTACTACCAGCATGGCGCTGGTGTGAGAGAGCTCTTTTGTCCCAGTGGCCTAACAGATAGCTAGGTAGAGCCGAGCAATTTTTACATAAATTCCCCGGACCGACAACTGGCGAAGCGTTTTGCATTTTGATGTATTAAAAAAAAAAAAAAATATAGTCCAAATATCAAAAAATCAAAAAATCAAATATCAAAGGGGTCAGCTCAATTTCCTTCATCCGAAATTTCTGACAACTGAAACATGCCCAATCGACCAATTGGGGATAGTGGTTTTTACTACAAAATATCAACATCTTTCAAATCTCCGAATCTAATTCCCCTTTCTCATTTCCAATTTAGGTGAGACAGAAACGCAAAAGGACATGTGGTCTATTTGTCAGGCGCACGATACATCTAAGAGGCCCCAAAAAAATAGATATAACAATAAAAAGGGTACCGGAATGAAAAGGGTATCATCAGCTTCTTGAAACCTGGAAAAGCATGTCGGATGGTTTCCTCGCGTATATTTAGGAATTAGAACGAGAACAAGAGCCTGTTCCAAGTAATGTTGACAAAACAGAAAGAAAAGAAGCCTAGGGGAAGAAGTGGCGGTTCATGGAAGCTGCAAGCACATATGCAGAGCAGAGAGAATCTTTTGCCAAAGAAAAGAAAGGAAAAGGAAACCCCAAAAGATGATAACGAACCAAAGTCTTTTTTTTTTTTTGGCGTGGGCTCTCATTGCCATCGACGAAGCACCTATTTTTCATGAGGCTGGGAGGCGGCTGGAGAATTTTGAGTAAGGAGTACCGCCGTTAACAGTATCGTACAACAACCAGAGAGAAGCAAAAACAGATGCATCTCAAACAAGAAAAGCGGGATATATGATATGATATGAAAAGGGGAAAGGAAATGAAGTCGAAGGGGAAAGAGAAAGAAGAAATGTAGAGGTAATGTACAAGGTGTAGACCAGCATTAAGGTGGTTATTTGCGGTAGTTAATGTAGCATGGCGGGGAGATGTGGTAGATGAATGGGTAGCTGGATTTTTTATCTGTCTCTGTTCTGCGTTTTGTTTTCTTTTGTCCCCACGTTCCAAGCTTTAAATTCTCTCGGCGGGCTTCAGACTGGTACTGGCGTGTCGCATAAATGCTTGTTTTGTTTTGAATAAAAGAAAATAATCACCCCAAAAGGGAAAAGAATGTGGACGGGACGGCGCGGACGGTTTCGTTGCTTGGGTATTGGTTCTTCGTGATTAGGACTTTCTACCTTATTTCTTCCTGGGTTTTGGACCTTTTCCTTTCTGGTCTTTTGTTCGATATGGCGGAAGTGATGTATTATACAAGTATCGGTGTTTAGAGTAAAATGGTAGTGGTGGTAGTTGGGCGGGGGCAATGCTTTCGCTTCGGAGGACTGGGCGTATTTTATATCGAGCGCGGCTAGTGAACAAGAGGGGCGAGTGGGTAAAGTCTTGTGTACACGGCCTTGTATGCGAATGAAAGGAGGTGAGATGGATTCCATTATTGCTGAGGGGCGATATAAAGCGGTGAAGAATCTATCCGGAGTGGAGGATATGCATGTATGTTTGTGGCATATGGAGTCGCGGAGCAGAATGTTAGATATTAACGGGAGAATGGAGATTTGGTAGCGTTGGTAAGGTCATCCTGTTAAGCCAATTCTGAATGAGTATTTGAATTTGTCTAGCGGAGAGAAGGGGGAAATAAGAAAATAGCGAAAGAGAGAATGGGGCTAACCATGTGGTTGCACATCGCGACGAAGAGGTCGAAGAAGAGTTTCCCTCCAACCTCCATTTCCATCTGCATGGTTCCACTTCGCTTGAATGTCGATCTGCTGCGGATGATCAAGGCAAGATAGTGTGCACGGAGCTTGGAGTCGTTGTCTGGAGTGTTTGCATAGGCAAAGCGAGCACTGGAGAGTATCGTGCTGCATTGCACTGCAACTTGAAGCCCCTGTTTCCGCAAAGCAAGTCGTTTCAGATCATCCAGGCCATATTTTTCGGCAGAACAGCTGTTTGAAAACGGAATCGTCATTAGCCGACAATTCAATTCATTAGGCAGAGGATTTACACAAATAGATTTAAGGTATAGGCGATGACGGGGGAGACAAACTAGACAGCAGTATCCTTTAAGATGACAGCTCCATCAACCTGGTTAATAATGGTTGAATCTGAAGCCTGCTGACTCGATGGATTCCCCACATTCTCTAGTTCCCACGAGTCTCGACGTTTATTGTGTATCAGGCGCGGGTAATAATCGCCCTTGTAAAGGTACTCGAGGATGGAGGAGAGGATTTCTGGTTGTTCGTCTGGTAGATTGATTCTCTTGCCATGGGATTCGAGGAATTGGCCTCGACAGCAAGTGGCAAAGAAAGGCGAGATACACAGGACATCCTCATGGGCAGCAAAGAGCCGTTGGTCGGGACCCACGCAGAGGGTAATAATAGCAGAAGTAAGGTTGCTAAATCGGAAGATAAAAAATGGTACAAGTCAGCAAAAGGAAGCATATCATGAAGCCTTCATGTCTGTCGACTTACGGGCCAACTGGAGGGCTCTCTGGTTTACGAGATGCCTTTTCTGCTCTTCTGGTGCTTGATGTTGCAGGATCTCTGAAGGACCTCTTTGACCGGGAAGCGGATTTACCAGCTCGATATTTGGAAGAAAAGCTCTCTGTCTGGCTTTGAGACGACCGTTTGGAAAACATGATGTCCAGGAACTCAGGTGGATGGCTGTTACGTCCCTTTCGATCCCTTAGAAGGGTTAATCAATTTGGCTTGTTTCTCGTTTCCAGGCAAACACAGTATGAGCTTGGGGGGCAGGCCAATTAAGTATAACAGCAAGTCCTTATATGGGTAAAGAAACGCTGGAGTTCCGCAGACTTTTAGATTGATATCTGCTTTTTATATTTCCTGAGGGCATCCACGAGAGCAGTGAGGGCAATGGAAGGTAGTGGAAGTGAAAGAAAGCGAAAGAAAGTAAGCAAAGGAACTGAATATTTCCTTCCAGCCAGAAGGGGAGCACCAGCCGGCCTTAAGTACCGGATACCAGGAGGATGATATAGTACAGGTACGGAGTCGTACAGAGTAAGATAGTGATAGCTAGCAGCACTAGGCAGCGCCCACCGAGCAGCACCAGCAGGTGGG